AGCCATCGCAGGCTTTGGGGCACAGGCGTGACAGGATCTGCTTAGGCTGGCTGCCGTGGTTTCTACAGAATCAACGAGGCCAGGTCGGAGGCTGCTGCGATAATGCAGGCGGGATCCGCGGGATCCGGTGGCTCCGAGCAGGGTGATAGGAGAGTGTGAGAACTCACTGGGCTTCTGGGTCCAGATTTGGGTGCATTGGATAGGACGTATGAGGGAAAGAGAATGATCTACACTTTCCTTGGGGCCCTTTTCAGTCTGCTCCTTCCTGGAAAACCCTATGCAGTTTCCATTCCAGCTTCTACAACTGCCCCTCCATCGATAAAGGTCAACGCTGTTTCTATTTTCTTTGGCTATATTCTGTGTCAACTACGATGTAGACTTTCAACTAGATGTGCTTCTTTCAGGCAGGGACCAGTCTCACACACATATTTTATATTCCCCAGTCATCCTCACTCTGTAGAGTAGGAGTTACAGTCTTGAGTGTTGTGTGGGGCTCTGCTAGGATCATCTTCCATCCCCTGAGATCCTAGCTTTCTCAGCCTCAGAACGGGGCCGATGTGCCCACAGGCCAGTAGGTTCGGTTATTCAGGATTCAGCAAGATCACGTGGGAAAGCAGGGCATCTGGTCCTTTTTAAAGCAAATGTTGATGGGTTAGATTGAGGAAAGTGGATGTTTACAGAAAACCATACAGACTAAATTAGAGCACACAGAACCCTGCCACCTCTGAGATAGCTGTTGTTTTTGGTGCATTTTCTTCTAATCATTTTTCTTCTCTTATTTGGTCCTCAGATGGGTTACCCTGAGCCTGGCTGATCTTGAAAGCTTGGTGAAGTTTTAACTTGTTTAAAGCATGCTAATTATAGCGAATTTCTTATTTTTTCAACCAACAGGAGGATGAAATTTTGAACAGATCACCAAGAAACAGAAAGCCTCGAAGAGAGTGAAACAATCTTAAGAACTTGATCTGTGATTTCCTCTCCCTCCCCTTCCCCTGCAAGCGTGGTCCTAGGAGAGGGCCTGGCACACCTTAGGTTGAAACTCAGAAAACCTCCAGACGTCACCATCGACAGGCTCCAGTCGAACACTAGCCCGTGTAATTGTAAACATCTAAGCTGTCAGTAATTGCAGTTGTGACATAAAGGACCCTGTTTCTGTAGAAAGCAAGCATATAACATTAATGGTTGTGAAATGTAACATGAAGCAACTAACTCGTATTTTTGTTTTTGTTTTTAAACATCCTTGTTTTTTAAAATAGAGTGATAGAACTTTGCCAGTCTTTAAATTCTTGGCTTAATTTAATATATTAATCTGTCCATGCAGAAATAACACCAACCTTTAGAAATGCTAGGGGGATGAATTGCAGTTTTTATAACCAAATTTGTTTTTTAAGTTTGGTATTACAAAACATTCAAGTGTTCTCTGTCCCTTAAAATGGATAATCATGTTGAAAGTACAGTCGTTACATGGTTATAATCTTGTTTGGCTTGCTTCCATCACCCAGTTTCTCTTAAGGAAACTGAGGGGATGGACTGGATGGAAGCCCAAATTTATAGAAAGGTTCTGTTTCATTTGTATTAAAAATAGACATACAGAAAGAAGAAACTTTTCCTCTTGATGTTGGTTAGACCGTACAGTGCGTGTGTTCTGTTGCCCTTGGAACAGCTGTGTTCCCAGACAGTCAGTGGAGGAGGTGACATAAGGTGGCACTCGGGCGATCATGCTTCCCAAACTGGGAGAGTCTGGGCTCCAGCCTTCCGGAGCAGGTGGCCATGTAAGGAATGCTCCCAGGGCACGGGAGCTCCCAAGTAGATGCAGATGTTTTCATCACTTCTTCCACTGTGTTGACACTGTTTCCTTCCCTGTTGCCCCAAATCCCCGGCTTTCTCCTCTGCTATGCATTTTCTTCACAGCGCAGCTTGCAGTCCGTCGCTGAAAATGATTATAAGCTCCGCATAGTGTTAAGCTTTATTGTGATTAAGTGTATGTTTCTTCTTCCTTTTTTAAGCAGACCCACACCTTTCCAGGGTCAAAGTATAGGATAGAATACTGTCTTTCATTTTTATCCATTTCTTTTACTCTGTGTAAAGACTTGAGAAGTCTGAGCCAGAGGTGAGCCAACTCAGAATTGACTGTAATTGAACATAGGCGAAAAGTATTTATGGGAGGAGTGACATACAGCATGAATTTTCTGATTTTTTTTTAGCTGCTAAACTTTTTAAGTCTTCATTTGCAGTTCATGTAACCTTTGTGTCTTAAATTACATGATAAAGCAGTCCTGTTGAAAAAAAAATTTTTTGTTTGGGTATGTGGCTTGTAGAATTCTTTAAAAAGTGATCTTAGATTTGTTTTTTTCATGTGGAATGCAGATGGGTGCTATCAGAGCCTCTCCCCCATCACTATAGTGTAATATCATTATTACACCACACTGAAATGTATTCAGAGTTGTTTTAGCTTTATTCTTTCTTCAGAGGTGTTTCAAATGTACCGGTGATACTGTTTCTTGCACTGAATATATAAACACTCCAAAGTGTTTATATTGGGGAGATTTGGGGAGGAAGTATATTCGTAAAAGATGAAGGCTGTATCTGTTTATTTTGTTTATCTTCAATTTTTTACTGGTTCACTGAAATTCTTATGAGGGTGGGATGAATTTTTCTTGCTGTTCAGTGCTTTATCCTTTTCATCTGTTGTTCTGTGGTCACAGTGACCTTAGCTATGTAGCAGACTTTCCCAGATGTATTGAGTGCAAATAAACAGTTACTTAGCAAGACCTGAAAATATGTCTGCAGGTTTCTCCTTGAAGCAAATGTGTGGGATTATGGCATTTCCAGAAACCTGCCTTCACTGACCGTTGACGTTACATCTCGTGTCTCACTTAACAGTTTCTTCCAGCCCAGGTGTGGAATGACAAATATAGAGTGTTCCTTTGCCTTTCCAGGATTACTTAGCAAAGTTTGTCAAAAAAACAAAACAAAAGTCTTTTCTTGGTTCTCTTTTTCACTCTTTGTTGAAGGTGCACCCTTCCGATTAAATGTCTGACACATCAGTGAATGACCAGCAGTGTTTAGCTCTTCAAATGCACTTACATTATAGTTTTACGTGCTGGCTGTCTGTCACAGTGTTGTAAAATGCCCACTCCATCAGATGTGTTCCTCGATTTCTCTTATCCACAAAATACTCTCCATTTTTCTCAAATTGTCACGTCACTAAATGGTATTACATTAAAGCCCTCTGTTAAGTGTCTGCTTTTGACTGAACTTCTTCATGGTAACTTTCAATTCAAGTGTTTTACTGCAGAAAATGTGAATGGTTGAGTATTACTTCATGTCTTCATGTGGATTTGATCCAGTCAATTCAGTGTAGATTCTGCCGCCTTTTTCTTCTGGATTGGGGGTCAGCAGTTTCTGTTGTATAATAGGGATAGCAGCTCGGGGGGGGGGGGGGGTAGTAATTTGTAGATTTTTTTTTTTTTTTTTAAGATTTTATTTATTTGACAGAGCACAAGCAGGGGGAGCAGCAGAGGGAGAGGGAGAAGCAGGCAAGGAGCCAGAAATGGGGCTCCATCCCAGGACCCTGGGATCATGACCTGAACAGAAGGCAGATGCTTAACTGACTGAGCCACTCAGGCCACCCCCTCTTAAAAAAAAAAAAAAAAGGTTTTATGATAATATTCTTTAAGATATATGGGAGCCATTGAACTTTTAAATTTTTATTAGAGAATGTTCAGAATCAGACTCCATCTTTTACATATTCTTAAGTATTTCAAGGATATTTTTGAAAGTTAGACCAAAACTTTTTAAATATGTGCTATAGGCTTTTGGATTGCTTACTGAAAGAGAAGTACACAGTGTAGTACTCTTAGTTACTATTATCTCCCTTATTAGAAAATAATTTAATTCTAATGTAAAATACCTATGTTTGAAGACTTGGGGGAAAAAACTATTGATGTGGCCTTCATGAGTTCTAGACACTTTTGCCTTGGGCCACTTGTATTTATTTTTTACTGCATTTGTATAAAAATAATACTTGAATAAGAACTCATTTTTTTTTCCCCTTCTGATTTTAAAATATTTTTGTGGGCCCTAGTAAAATGTTAATGTAACAAATGTTTGAGCTGTTGGTGGTCCTGGCACCTCATGTTTAACTTTTTAGCAATTAGGGTGCCCATGACTGTTCCTTGTATCTCTTGGGCCAAAGCAGGCTTAGTTACCTAGTTTTAGTACTGAGTCACTGCTCCTGTTTTTTGCCCCAGTTTCCCACCCCCTATGCCTACTGGTTGTAATACTAAACGTAATTGTCTCTGGTTGGATTTTGTTGAGTGACTCAGTTTAACCTAAGCCACCATCCTTAAATGGCAGGCCAGGTTCCCTGTTTTTTTTGGCTGAAATCTCATCCTTTATAGTTCTAGTCCCCGCTAACGGAGCTAGACTCTTCTTCACACCCTCCTCTTCACATCTGCTGGGGGTTTTGTTTTGTTTTGTTTTGTTTTTTTAAGTAGTACCTAGGAAACTTGTTCAAACTTTTCTATTAAGTGGAAACTGAGCCCCAGTGATTCAGAATGGTGCAAGAGGAAGCCTCTTCCAGTCTTCCAGCTCCCTCGTGGACAATTCCGACCAATTATGAGGCCGGATGTAAGGAATGCGGTCGAAAAACAGCTGACACTGAAAAAGCCTGGCTACTTTGGAGTTTATGAAAACAACTCAAAAAGGCTGCAGGGCAGAAAATGGTGAAGCGCTGTAGTGCCAGGCGGCCGTCTGGGTCGGGCGGTTACGCTCCGCGGCGCGGACTGCCCCTTTCCTCTGCGGGCCCGGAAGGGCCTGCCGGCGAGGGGTGGCCTTTGGGACCGGCTCCTGTCGGTCATACTTGGCCCCGTGCCCCGCACTGAGGCCCGCCCAGGGGCTTCCCTCCGCCCCTCACTTGAGAGTTCCTTTTAAACTCCGCTCGGGAGCCCCCGCGCGCCTCTTGCGTGCTCGCCCCCGCCCCTCGGGCGGCCCGCTCTTCCTGCTCTGATTGGCCACAGTGCCTGCTCATCAGCCGTGACGCCGGGGTCGCCCGCCGGGGCCCCGCCCTCTTCCGAGAGCCCTGAAAACAATTTTAAGATGGCGGCGGCGGCGGCGCGGAAAACAATGGGGCCGGGGCGGCGGGGACAGGCCGAAGCCTGAGGTGGGCAGCGAGCGCCGGCCCGGGTCGGGCCGAGCGGGGCCCGAGGAAGAGCCGCCGCCGCGCGCGAGCCTGCTCCGCAGCCCGCGGGGCCATGGCGCGGCCGTGAGGCGGCCGGGCCGCCGGCGGGGAGCGGAGCCCGCAGTGCCAGTCGGCCCCGAGAGGCCCGCCCCGGGCCCGGCCCGTGCAGCCCGCGGCCCATGGTGCTGCCCACCTGCCCCATGGCGGAGTTCGCGCTGCCGCGGCACAGCGCGGTCATGGAGCGCCTCCGCCGGCGCATCGAGCTGTGCCGGCGCCACCACAGCACCTGCGAGGCCCGCTACGAGGCCGTGTCGCCCGAGCGCCTGGAGCTCGAGCGCCAGCACACCTTCGCCCTGCACCAGCGCTGCATCCAGGCCAAAGCCAAGCGCGCCGGCAAGCACCGGCAGCCGCCCGCCCCGGCCCCGGCCGCCGCCCCGGCCCCGGCGCCCGCCGCCGCCCCGGCGCCCGCCGCGCCGGCCTCGGCCCCGCGCCTGGACGCCGCCGACGGCCCCGAGCACGGCCGCCCGGTCGCGGTGAGTAGGGCGTGGGGAGCAGCGCCCTGTCCGCGAGACGCTGCCCCTGACGCCGCCCGGCCGCCCCGAGGCTTCCCCGGTGCCCGCCGCTCCTCGGGTCTGGCGCGGGGCGGGGGGTGGGGGGCGGGGAGGCTGACATGGCAGGGACGGAGCGGTTGTCATCTGCGGGAAATGGCACTGTGGCATTTACTTCGGGAGAACATGCCCGTGAGGACCTTACGTTAAGGCCCCGGCTGGGGGGCTGGGGAACGGTGGCTGAAAGGTAGCTCTTCCAGGCTTGATTCCAGATTTTCGTAACTTTTGGGGGAACAGACTGGCATAGAGTTACCTCTGATAGTGGCCTCATCTATTCTGCGAATATTTATAAGGTCCTTGCTCTTTGAAGAGTCCGGGCTTGCATATGGAAATAAGTCGATCCGCAGTTGTCCAGATTAAACGGTTCTGAACGGAAAAATCCAAAGATCTTGAGAAATCGTAGTAAAAGGCATAATACTGCTCATTGAGTTGCAAAGAAAGTATTGCTTGTTTAGGCAGCGCAGAAATGTGTGAACTTGTGATTCCAGCAATACTGTTGACAATTCCCGTTTTAATTTTTAAGCCTCTTTAAAATCTCTGATGATGTTAGAGAATTTGTTAGAGGTTGACCCCCCCTGAAACTGATTTATAGAAGGAAGATAATAAGGTTTTTTGTTGTTGTTGTTTTCATGGTGATTTAAAGTTTAAAACAAGTGTTACCAGTCTAGTTTGTGTGTTTTTTTAAATTTGTGCCTTTATTACCTCTCACCTAGGCTATTGCTGTACTCTTCCCTGACTAGGCTTTAGTCTTTCTTCCTCTCAAGTGCTCTGCCCCCACAGGTCCTGTGCTCTGGTTGAATTCTTTTCCCCATTCCCTCCTACACTGGGCTGCTGGACATTTCATTACTAATTGTATGGACTAGTCCAACCTTCTCAACCTCACTTTTTCCGTCTGTAAACTCTGGACGTCGTTTAGCTGCTTATCCTCCAGGGTTCTTACAGGACTCCAGTGAGTGCGGATGTGAAAATATTTCATAAGGACCCTTCTCCCCTTTCAGAATCCTGCCATCATCCTTCAGCTCGTCTTCCTCTTCTTTAAAGCTAGTTTCTGACCACCCTAGCCCACAACCAGAGTCTTCTTTGTGAAAACATTTAGAAAAGGTATGGTCCGTGCTATTTATTTTTAGCACATAGTGGTACTGCTTTAAGTCATGGCTTGCCAACTAGACTGTAAGCCCTGGGAGGCAAGGAGGAGTTTGGCTCAGTCCTGTGTACGTCGTAGGCCCTCAGCACATGTTTGTTCAGTGATTGATATTAAACTTTGTAGTACTTTACTCAGTCATCTATCCTCTTACGCACTAACCTCGCAAAGTAAAATGGCTTAATTTCATGAGCCACCTTTACTTATAACTCTTGTTTTAAGGAAAGCCTTTAAGAGTAGTGGGTGGTCATGCCAATTTAAGTAAACAATGAAAGCTCATAAAAATCCTAGTTTTATACTCAAATAGTTGCCTTGAATACCCTGTAGAAGGTATTATGAGTAGTGATTCAATTTGTTTAAAGAGAGAAAGAGCTTAGACCCTCTATGTTATTTTTAGTCCTGATTTACTGGAAAGAAATGAGGCACGCTGTTTGAAGAGAAATTAATTCTGAGTGTGCTAGAACTTGAATCTGGCTTGTCTGTCATTCCTTTGGGTGTTAGAGCCTGATCAGATGAGCCATGTTATGTCGATGTCTTATCACATTAAACTTTGACCCATGGATTTCATGAGTTTAAACTTCAGAGTGGAAGTGCTCTTCCGCCTCCTCCTAGGAAGGGGGACCCTTTTCACTTCAGTCTACAACTGACTCTAGCTGAGCTCTTTGGCCTTGGAATGGGGTTGTAACAGAAGATCAGTGTTACTAAGAAAACAGTGGTGTTTTCCATTTTAATGGCTTACTCAGTTCAGAGAGGAGAGCGTCCTTGCCTGGATAGGACTTTGACTTGGAGAGAGAGCACAGCTTTGCACAGAGAAATGGAGAGAAGGTGCCTCTTAGTCACTGTTATTTTGGACAGTTCTAAATATGTACTTGATCTAATTAATATCCCTTACATAGGGAATATCATTAGTACTTTTTTCCCCCCAGTGTACTATAATACTGGTAGGCAGCTGTTTCATCAGCAGACCATTTGTAAAACTGAAAAGGGATCAGATTTACAGTAGAGTTCACCTTCAGGTTTTTTCCTTTCTCAGGATGTCCCACCACCAGCAGTCTTAACCTCTATCTGCTTATTCTGTTGAAGATGGGTAAGAAACAGTGCCTCAGACTTCTTTCTATTCTAGTTGTCAAGGAATGACCTTATCCGGTTTTTTTAATACTGTATGTGTATTAAAGACCAGGTTGTTGTTTTTTTTAAGATTTATTTATTTGAGAGAGAGAGAGCAAGCAGGGGGAGGGACAGAGGAAGAGGGAGAGAGAGAATCCCAAGCAGACTCTGCCAGCTGCAGAGCCCAGTGCAGGGTCTGATCCCGGGACCCTGAGATCATGACCTGAGCTGAAATCAAGAGTCAGACAGACGCTCAACTGACTGAATGAGCCACCCGGGTGCCCCCAGGATTGTTTCCTAATGACAGTTAAGATTGACTTCTTTTGGGACGCCTGGGTGGCTCAGTCGGTTAAGCATCTGCCTTCGGCTCAAGTCATGGTCCCAGGGTCCTGGGACCGACTCCCACATCGGGCTCCTTGCTCAGTGGGGACCCAGTTTCTCCCTCGGCCTGCTGCTCCCCCTGCTTGTGCCCTCTCTCTCTCTCTGATAAATAAATAAAATCTTAAAAAAAAAAAGATTGACTTTTTATTAGGAATGCAAGATTATAGAGAATTACCCAACCACTTTATACAAGCATTCATTCTGTAATGAAAATAGTCTTATGTAATAGCTTGAACATTTTCTTTTAGTAAAATGCCATAAAGGTTTATGCCTCATCCCTTTATCCACCATTGTTACACTTTTGCTGCTTATTCCTTTAGTAGCTGTGAAAGTCTATGGAGAAATATGACAGTTGCCTGCCAGCCATTCGTGGAAGTTGCGTTCCCTGCTTAGTTTAAGTGTGAAAACTTTCCCTTTCTCTCTCTTTTTAATTTTTTATTTGTACATAATTTAAAACTTAGAGAAAAGCTACACAAATAGTACAAAGAACATCTGTACATCCTTCACTTAGATCCTGCCCATATCACCGTTGTGTCCCATTTGCTTTATCATTTGTCCACACGTTCCTTCTCTCCTGTCCACATCCAGCCATCCATCTCTTTCTCTCTTAAAACCTTTGTTCTCTGAACCACATGGGAGCATTGCCTGCAGACCTCACAGCTCCCTACTGGCAGACACCCCAGTGTGTGCCTTCTAAGGGTTAAGAAACTTGTACAGCATTTTAATAATGATTTTGTGGACCAAACTGTGTTAGAATAATGCAGATAACAAATTATTTCCAGGGAGTAGATATTTCTGAACATAAAACAGATATTGTACTGTAATCATGTGGGATAGTTTTAGAGAGAAGATGACTAATGTGGCTTTAGGATCCCATTTCTTCCTATAGCATCCGGGACCTTGTCCTGGCACTCTTTCCTTTTTTTTCTTTAGTATCCCCTTTCCCACCGGGCCCTTCCCTTCAGCTTGAAAACATAGGCAGTTATTCTCCTTTCTTTTGTCTTTTCTCACCCTCAAAATAGTATTCCATCTTTTTCCTTCCCTTTGCCCTTTCCCCTTGAACTTCCCATTTACTCATGAGCCCATTGTAATCTGCCTTTTCCCTCTTCTACTCTTCCGAAGTTGCCCCTTTAAAGAGCACCAAAGATGGAATTGCCAAATTCAGCGGCTTCTTAGTCATCATTCTTTTTGACTTCCTCCTTCTCAAGGCTCTTCTCTTAGCTTCCACTCTCTTCTGATTCTCTTTCCAGCTTTCTGGTTTTTTTCTCAGTCTCCTGCTTTCCCTTACTAATTCATGCAGCAAGTACTTGAGTGCCTCCTGTGGGCCAGAGGGTGTTTTAGGCACTAGGAATACAGCAGTGAACAAGACAAATTAAAACTCTGCCTTCATGGAGAAAGAGATTGATAATTTTAAAAATTAATTTTTATAATATAATTCTAAGAAAAAATGAAAAGAGTAATGTGGTACTGGTTGACTTACAGTAGTAGCTTTAGATAAGATGCTCTTTGGGCCTGATTGACAGGAGGTCATCAGTCAGCTGAAAGTCTCAGGAACATTCCAGTTAGAGAAAACCACCAGCACAAAGTCTTCTTCTGAGCTTGCCTGCAGAACAGAAAGGAGGTCAGTGTGGCTGGAGCCGCATGGCAGGTAAGCAGCTAGTAGGAGAGGTAGATAAGAAGGACCAGATCAAGTGCACTAGGAAGCAATTAGCAGGGTTTTAAGCAGAAGCATGTCTTAGGTTTTAAAGGCCATTCTGGTGCTAGGTGGAGAATGCTTGGGGTTGGTGTGCACGAGAGTGGATACAGTTAAGGTTTTTGGGGTGGTCTAGACTGGGGCTGGAGGTAGCCATGGCAACGGAGAGGAAGAGATGGGTTTTGTGTAGCTCCCAAAGGCAGAGGTGACAGGGCTTGGTGATGGGCCACATGGAGTAGATGGGGGGGAGGGGGCACGAGAGAGGGGGAATCGAGGGGAGTTCCGAGTTTTTTGGCTTGAGAAGCTTTCTTTGCGTGCCTTTTAGATGTTAGTATTCCCCAGGTTACTCTGTCCTCTACTTTTTCCAGTCATGTTTTCCTGGGTCATGTTATTGTTTCATGGCTTCATCTCCCACCTATAATAATAAGATTCTCCAGATCTTTTTTCAAGTTTCAGATCCATATTTGCAGCTGTCTACTGGACGTTTCCACTTTTATATCCCACATATCCAAAATGGACTCTCCCTTTTTCCTGCCAATCTTATATTCCTTCTAAGTATTTTCCCTAGTCCCGTCGTCCAAAGCAGAAACCTGTGAATTGCTC